ATTGAATATAATTCATACCGTGTCATCCATTACTGTCATCAAACGAAAAACATCCTAAAAGTTTCTTTAAGATGTTCCATATCAAGTACCCTGAATGTCTCTGGTACATCCCACAAACATTCTGATGGGATGTTTATAAGACATCGCAAATGCTGACACAGGTGTTGCCAGCAACATCCCAAGAATGTCCTAAGGCAAATAGGGATTTTCCGGAGATGTTCCTATCATCCCATATGGATGTTTCTACGACGTCTTACAGATGTTATTGTGTTATCAGGGATCCACTTCACCATATTTAAAGTAGATATTGTCTCTAGTTTCCGAAAATGAAGGTTTATCGAACGTTTCCATAGGTAATTCTGATCCCTCAGGCTGAGAAAGTAAGGTATTTATGAGAGTTAGGCTTGCCAAGGTTAGTTTATTTCATTGCACCAGTATTTCTCATTGTTTGTGGAGTTTTTACATTTGCTATCGATTTCCGTCAAGGGAAAGCGGAGTCAATTGAAAAAAAAAACAATAAAGAACAGAAGAAAATCATTTATTCACACATATTCATGGAAGAAATTTAAAAACAATGTCAAAATTTTGAAAGTTAGGCTCATAGAATAATTCTTAAGAAATACATATAATGATTGATTTTCCTCTTGGCGAATTTGGTTTGTGTATACCTATTTTCCATTATACAGATATTTTCGATTTCTGCAAGTTATACAGGATGCGCGAAAATATGTGTTAGATCTCCTGAATCCAAATAGTATATATATAACAATAACATGGCAAGTTCCAAAAAGTATTTGTTTTGTGGTCGTTCTCTCAGGATATATAAGGTTCCATATGAGACACCCCTCGAAATTTCAGGGCAACAAAATCCTCATTGATTCGTGAAGTTTATTTCGACAGAAAAAGCTCTCGTGTGACAATAACTATAACTGACCAAATCACAGCGGCTTATGGAATTTTCTATGCCTACATGAATTGAATTGTCATTGAAAATCCATAATGATTGAGAAGAACTATTCAGAACTGCAATATTTGTTATGTAAAATCAGGTCATTTCATGTATATCGATCATGTGATAGTGTCTTGATTTGTTCCTTGTTAGGAATATGCTGTCTGAAAATATGATTGTTGTGCCTTAAATAAACAAGGCAATGGTTTCTCCTTGACAATCAAATGAGCCCAATGTGATTTAGATATGGAGGGGCCATTTCACGAAGGCTAATCTAGTAGGTATCGACATCATATGCAAAAAACTGGACTCTGAATATATCATTGGAACAACAACATTTTCACTGAGACCATAAATCCGACGAGGGGGTCGTCGGATATATGATCATAAGAACTTGACATGTTATTATCATGTATAGATACTCTATCAGAGTTTTGTAAATTGCACACAAATTCTATCAATTGGTGTGAATAACCCATCTTGGTGAGAATTCAAGATGTTGATTTTCGTCCTCATAGCCACATATTTATTGAAAGGAATGTTTGACTCATAACTGTAAACATATTCCTTCAATTTCTCTATTTCATATTGGCACTTAATTCATGAGTGGTCAAATTATTGGAAGAGTAGGTCTAACTATCTCCAGAATCGTTGAAGTATTTATGTATAAGAGTAACCAAAACGTTGCTATCTTTTCACAATATTTTCAATATATTCCAAGATATTTTGTTTCGGTTAAACTACAGATAACAATGACTTGTTAATGTTAGGGATGATTCATTCGTGAATGAAAACAAGATCTAGTAAAACGTATAGATACCGGGTGACCAGTTATTTTCTGACCCATTTCAACTGCCCATACCTCCGAAGCTATTCAAATTATCGTTGTGCGGTTTTGACTTCTCTATTTCGATATCCTTCAAGTTTTTTGACTGGTTCACCTCCTCACCTGAACTTTCGGTTCTACCGGAAACAAACAAGCCATTATTCAGGTATAGGGCAACTTTGATAACATTGCATAATCTCATTAAACCATTCCACAAGCAGTAGTTGTTTCAAAGAGTTATAACTCTAATAGTTTTCTAGGAAAACATAACTTGTAATACATTGTTAGATAGAGTAAAGACCAGTCTTTCTGAATGTGCAAAAATATACAGGGTGATTCAATGAAATAAAAGTTGCCCTATACCTGGATTATTGCTTGTTTGTTTCCGGTAGAACCGAAAGTTCAAGTAAGAAGATGAACACGTCAAAAAAAAACATCATCAAAATAGACTAGTCCAAACCGCACAACGAAAACTAAAATGGTTTCAGAGATATGAGCATTTGAAATGGGGCAGAATATAACTGGTCACCCGGCACATTTGTTATATATAATCACCTTGAAACTACAGTAACTGGTGAAAAAGACAGTACATGTGATTTATAGAGATAATTCTATCTCTTGATCAAGTTGAATGTGATAAATATTCTGCGGATACGGAAGACAGTGACTATACTAAAGTTTCTAGAAGGTCCAAAACGACCACAATATTCGACTGCTAGATCTCATAATTGAGAAATTCAGGATGAACACAGTTGCTCCAATTGTCAGAAGGAGCGAGACAGAATTGTTTCGACCCACCAGGTCTCATCAGCCGCTCTCGGTCTGTTGACAACTGGGACGACTCTACGCTTTGGGTATATCACCCATTCCGAAGGCGCAGGGTATAACATGAAGTTATAATCATGTTGCAGCCATCTAGTGGCAAAGCTCTATGGTAGGATCCAGAGATCCTACGTCTGTACGCTACAAGTGAACCAGTCTACTGGCACTAGCTGACATACTCGAGTGGATTTTTCGACCATCTATATTCAACAGAGATGTTTGACTCTGAAAAACTGATCATATTGATGGTTATTCGTTCAAAATAAAACAGGCTGTGGAGGGATACGAAGTGAAATTCTATCCAATATTCGTATGACCTGTTAGCAAGTTGTTTTCCACACGATGTTTCGTTTTGATCATTGTACTTTTTACTACTTTTTCGCACAATTTCAATTTTTCCGCACTATTTTCACATTTTAGCACGATGAATCATCGAGATAAATGAAACACACAGAGTAAAAGAGGAAAAAATGGATATGGCACTATCATCGAAATCAAAATCAAATATTCTTCCGTCATTTCATCAAGGATCAAATCATGGACATGGACCAAAAAAAAAGCAATAATTTTTGAAGACGCACATCTCATTGGGAAATAAACGTTCCTCATACAGGATTTTCAAAATCGATAATTTTTCATTTTCAGGTTTTTAACGCATCTTTTTCGATTTTGAAATCATGCAAGCCACATTCAACGTATTTTGTCACTCTATACGACGGAACACATCATTGCGTTGAAATCATCGAAAACTTCAACAGAAGAAAAAATAATGTTTGTGGAGAAATGTTCAGAATTTGGTGAAATCGTCTGTTCAATTTGGTGCTGCCATAACCATATGCTATGCTAAACACAAATCCTTCATTTGGATCGATTGCTCAGCTCGATATCTCGAATTGAATACGTGGTTTCTCAGGTAAGGCAATCCGAGGGGGCACAAGGAGGCCCTTCTGGATTTTTCTGACCAATTCATACAAAAACGATGCTACAATGGTTTCAAGATATTCCTGAGCTGACATGAAGTCAAGAAACCTATTCATCACTTGGTTTTTCATCGCGTAATCGAAAATCAATCGAAAAAGTTGATTTCCTTTGATCAACACTCTTTTGCGCAATAATAAATAATACCAATGCAACACCCAATATGATGCGTCCCGTCGAACCGATGATGACAGTTGTAAAAGGTTCGACAGGAATCATTATATTGGGTGTTCCAGTGGTATTAATTGCGTAAATGAGTGTTGATTTAATGAAATCGATTTTTTCCATTGATTTTCGATTACGCGATGAAAAATCTTGTGATAAATATGTTTCTTGACTAAATGTCAGCTCAGGAATATCTTGAAACCATTGTAGCATTGTGTTTGTATGAATTGGTCAAAAAAATCCAGAAGGGCCTCCTTGCGCCCCCTTGAATTGCCTCACCTGAAAAATCACGGAATCAATTCGAGATATTGAGCAGAGCAATCGATCCAAATAAAGGATTTGTGTTTTGCATACCATATGGTTATATGGCAGCACCAAATTGAACAGACGATTCCACCAAATTCTGAACATTTCTCCACAAATATTATTTCTTCTCCTGTTGAAGTTGTCGATGATTTCAACGCAATATGAATCTATTCTCTAGAATATGTTCCGTCGTATAGAGTGGCAAAATACGATGAATGTAGCTCGCATAAAATAATAATAATGCATGCAAAATCGAAAAAGATGCGATAAGAACTCAAAAATGAAAAATTATAGATTTTGAACATGCTGTATGAGGAATATGGAAAATTACAAAACCGTTTCGAGATATTGACTTACACGTTCAGAAAAAATGATGAGTAGAAAAATAAGAAACATTACCTGGAATGCGGAATACGGAATAAGTACATTATTATTATTAGACTATTCTGTCGAATGTGTAATTTCGTAGCAATATTGGAGAATCTTGTTCATCAAAGCCTTCTTCTTCATAAGAGTATGAACAAAAACACTCGTAGGATGAACATTGCACCAAACCATAGTTGTGACCAAACTCTTGCGGAAAATGTCTTTTCCACCCTTGACGACTTGCCCGAACATTTCATCAATGGGTTGATCAGAATCAATGTTCAGGAATGCGTAAATCTTTCCGTAATACATGATACGAACTATGTCGATTTCTCGCAATCAATTAGTGGGTATCTGTGAATAATGAGGCATCAATTCACGTGCACTAAAAGATATCAATCAAAAATTCTTCGTCAATGCAAGTAATTGCAATAACTTCCCAAGAACTGATAACCTCTGGAAGTTCAGAAGAATCACAACACCTATTTCCTCTTTCTTTCCTTCCTAGGTACGCGCGAAATTCCACGAACATTATTGTACAGGTATTTCTGTTCGTGCGCTCCAAGAGATGAAGAAAAAACATACGAAGTGCGACCATAATGATTATGAAGTGCTTCACGTTACTGTACTAAAAAACAGGTATATTTCTGTTATGTTGGTTAGTGTATGAGAAGTTACAGAGAAATCTGAGTAGATTTATGACAGGTAGGTACTCAATATGAACCTGCGGTGAAATGCCTATGGACAACCTCTAGTTTCGCAGCAGTAAGAATATAGTCACCTCATCTCACAAGTTTGATGAAAACAGTGGAGCTTTAGCTTGAACCAGAACCACCTGCGCAACAGTCTACTGCCATTCCACTGTGCAATGAAAGCGGAATGAGGGCGCTCACCATGCATTTCCAATATTTCATGTTCGTCAGAAATTGAGGTGATTACGATTTGTGCCCATATGGCAGCTCTTCTCATGATATTGTGATCGACGCTGATTCATAAAGAACACATTATAACATCATCTGCAGGAGTGTATTCATGAATTCGTCTCAAAATGAGCTTTGTCATCTTACCCGAGCTGGGAGACCAATCACGTCATCAATAATGACGAAACCTCCGATTCAAGAAATAGCCAAGTACAGGTAGGAAATTCCACAAGTCCATCATCGGATACAGGGAGTCTACTTTTGAATAATCGATTTGTATTCACCTCTCACTCCTGTTGTGTCGTGATCTGAAGGAGTAATGTTTATTTTTCTAATTTCGAATGTAACTTAGAGAGTCACCCCTGTCTTCACCAGCTTAGACAGATAGGCCAACATCATGAGCGGTGGATTGCTCGTGTTCGTGTTCTTGTTTTCTGATGGATCAACCTGTCAATTTCTAAGGTAGCACTGAGAATGAGTTGAAGAGTGATATGAATAATTGAATCCTTAACACGTTGACTGCCATGTCGGTCTATTAGACCGAGAAAGAAATATCCTGACGTGCCGCCTCGGTCTCATAGACCAAGATTGGAGTTGATACACCAGGCCGGCTCGGCCTATAGGACCGAGTCAATTGAACCGCCCGTGAAGCCGTCGGTCTGAATTATTGTTAATAATATCGCGGAGAGCGACCAAGACGGCTTCAGTGACAAGTTTATATTGTATATTGTCCTCATCAGACACAGCACTAGACCGAGGCCGAACCCGGACGGACCGAGCTGGCGGACCGACGCGGCGTACACGGGTATACATGTATAAACGAGCGCCGACTCGGTCTATAAGACCGAGCCAAATTTCTTCAATTTTTTGGATCCAGTGTCCCAATTTTCAAGAATTTCAACGATATACTATCTTCTGTAGGCTTCAGCTACATAGAGTCAATCATGGTTTCTGGGACAAAATTTTTGATTCTGCTTCGGCTCTGATACCAACAGTGTGTATATGAGCCCGGCAGTCAACGTGTTAAAGAATACTCACACTTCCGTTTTTCTTTGAACCGAATTACATCTTACTTTCAAATATTGCCTAAATTTGTAACAGACTATTACCTTTAGTACTATGATAAATATGAAGAGGTATCCTAGCAAACATATCACAATATATAATGAGAGTCAATGTCTCTCACATTTTCTTTTCTCATCGAGTCGACTTACCTATCTATCTTTCGAGTATTGCTTGAATTTGTAACAGACTTTTATCTTTGGTCTCAGGTAGTTTGAAATATATAAAAGCGTATCCTAGCAAACATATCACACTATAAAGAAAGAAATTCCAATGCATTCCATAATATTCCATGATTATTGGAAACAAAAATATCATTAGGGATACAACCAAACCGTCGAAGCATGCCAATAGAGACATAGTCATAGAGATAACGTTAGTAGGAAACACTTCGCTGGCAATAACCCAACTTATGGATGCAAGTCCCAGTGCATTCGACATATAAAATAAAATGAGACCAAAAATGGGCCACCAAGATATATATGTAATGAATGATGAACCTATACTCTTCAAGAAGAAGAAAACACCAATTGAGAATAGAGAGAGCGCGTTGCCCAAAGTGAATATAAGTAACAGCGTTCTCCTCCCATATCTTCCTGATGTTTTAGTCGCAATTGCACAAAAAAATAATTGTAAAATGCTCATTAAATTGATAGAAACATAATTTGGAACAGTAGTGCCAGCCCTTTCGAATATTAGAACTAGAAAACACATTATAACTGAAGCTCCATCTGTGAATGCTATTAAGTGCACACCTAAAGTTATAATGAGAGCTGTACGTATAGCTCTGTTCGAGAACATTGAGGTTAAATCCATTTTCTTCATCTGAGAAGTTCTTAGGAGAACATGCGAGATAGATCTGAGTTCTTTGTGTACACCATTGTTGTTTTTATTCCTCAACATCTTGAGTGTTCTGAAAGCTTCTTTTTCTTTATTTTTGGAGATAAGAAATACTGGTGTTTCTGGTAGGAATATGATCAAGCAACCTAGAGATATCATCAATAGAATGCTACATACTAAATTGAATATTTTGTATGAAGGTATGAATGAACTGATGAGAAAGCTGCAGACGTTTCCCAATGGTGTTCCAAGCACACCAAAACACACAAGTTGTGTTTTGTGATGATCTTCGCCTATCTCTGCCAAGTATATCCTACCAGCTACCTGAGTTCCTCCTAGACAGAAACCCATCAGTATTAGAGGGATGTATATCATGTAGATATTTGTGGCGAAAGCAAGAAACATTTCTAACAATATGGTCGGCACACTCAACACTATCATTGCCTTCTTTCTTCCGAATATATCAGATATTTTTCCAAGCACCAATGATCCAATGACTAAACTGAGGGTCAATATCGCACCAATGGTGGAGAGCTGTGTTGTCGTAATCGGTGCTTCTAACGGATTCACGTTCGGATCATCTGAGAGTAGATTTTCTGCTAAAGGTGCTATCCAAACCACATATAGGCCCACTTTCACTGAGCTGACCATACAAACTGAAAAAATAGATTCACTGTTCACAAAATCACAGATTCTTCAATCATGTTAACAATATTTCCATTCAGGAAATTTTTCAATTCGCCGCATATTGAAATAAGTTCAGATGATCGTTCCAAAAATCACAATAATCTTTTCTGAATGATGATTTCTTACTCGAAGCATTTTTCGTGAAAAACATAATGCTGTCAAATCAATCTCACATCACGATTCAAGTGAAGTGATGGAATAACATGTGATTATTATCTGTTATGAATGTTGATGAATATACAGACAGCCTCACTGCAATCATAATTTATTTCTTTCTCGCTTGAGAGAAAGAGGTATTCACAATGAAAAATCGAATATAACGGTCGTGCATGAAATGTTGTTTGTATTTTGGGCATTACTTTTTTCATGGACCATGGCGTGTACACCCATCTGGACTTAGAACAATATTCTTTATTTTCGTATCTGTTTCTCAGAAACGAATGAGAGAAGGTCCAATGAATGAAGAAAAGATAATTTAAGAAATTGTCGATTTCCAGTTTTGGAGAAAACAGCGGGCCTGATGAATGGACAAGTGGATGAAGAGTTACAATTGAAACAAGAATGAAGATTCGAAAATACGTTTATATTATTTCTCACAAGTCGCTGAAATGGTTTTAAGGGATTTCCTGTATATCATCTACAATTCTACATATTGAAAAACAAAAAACGCTTTCAAAACCATTTGTTTATATTTGTCTGGAATTTTTGTTGATTTCTTGCTGTGCATGAATATCGCTATATTTGACGATTTCTCCTACCAACTTCCCATGAAAAAACAGCTTGAAACTGTTTCAAGGGAAACGATTGCTTTGTGCAGTTCGAACTGGTTGCCATCGCATTGACGGATAATCTTAAACTCCATTATTGAGAGTATGGTCAAACGTGGTTTCGAGCTTTGGTCGCCTATCAACAAAAGTGAACAGTGGTAGATCATCACTGTCCCAGTCGTCATCACCCTCTATTCCAAATTGAATTAACGCAAGGTTTTTCAGTTGCAGTCCGGGTGAATGATTTAGTAATTCATCGTCTTCATCCTCAGAATCTCCATCGGTATCGCAATTTTTGTTGGCAATTATGGTGGAAAAATTATAATGTCTGAAGCAATGTTCGTAGTAAAGTCATTCTCCAATTTCTCTTAGAGCTTTGTCATAGTGACTTTCTCCAATACATGAGACATAAAGACGAATATAAAAAACAATGGGTATAATATTTCATTCGTTAAAAATCAAAACAACAAACAAAAATCAACGATCTTCAAGATGTCTTATACCTTGAGGCACAGATCACGAAATCACAAAAAAACAGCGGTTTTCAACTGTCACTATATATCCAAAACTCAAAAAAACCCTATCCATCGCGATTGACCTTGTTCAAGATGTCAACTAAATTTATGTCACTCTGGCCATATCATCGGACCGTCTGCTAAATCAAGGCTGAATGAAGGTTTCTTACTGAATCGATTATGACTTTGTACCAGAAAACACAATGTGGCATCATGTATCTTCGATACATTGTATAAAAGGTAGTACTCACCTATCATCGCAGAAAAATACAGGAACAGAGATGCTTGTTGTTGGTTTTCTTCATTCTCAGATTCTAACAAATCGAATTCAGCATCAGCGGGAGATGATGAAAGGTCAAACGTCAATTGTTCGATATCAAATTTTTCGCAGTTACTATTCATTTTCAGGGATTTGAAGTTTCCTCTTCGTTCTATAATTTAACTGAGCATTCACTGTTCAGCTGTATATTTTTGGCTTATAGTACATTCACATTATTTAATTAAATTTCACGAGAACAATAATAATTCCAATCTTTTATCAGGATTTCAATTTGATATGAATCGTGAAACAGTGACTTCATTAAATAAATATGAATAATCAAACATGGATTTATATGTCAAGGAAGTACCTATTTCAATACACAATCCTAAATAATGTCTGAAGGTTGATCGAGGAGTTGGTACATTCAATCTCCAGATTTTCTGGGATTTTTTTTCTCGTTTCTAAAAAAAAATTGAGTAAGTATACTAGTTTTATCTAACTCTTCCCCTCTCCTTTTACGCACGACGTTCTTCGTACATTAATGGAATTTATTTTCGTGCACTTCAAGAAATTGAAAACAACACATATTGATGAATCCTATTTATATTGTAATTTTTAATCTCTTGGGAATAATAATGACGATTATAATAATCATTATTGTTATGATCATAATTATCATTATAACAATTATTGTCAGGTATTGAGTGCTGACAATCAAACATGGGAAGGGTAGATTCAAGATCAATTGATGAAAACATCCTGTAACTCATTCGCATGCCAATCTCAATGTATATTACTGTGGAGTGTTACACTGAGATATCAAGACTGTGACCAAACTCACCGAGGTATTTTCTTAATATGGATTTAACTCAAACAAATTCCCACATTGTGTTCTAAAACCTCATTCTGAAGCTCATCCTTCTTTAATAAGTTCGTGGATACTGAGTTTTGTGGAGGTAGTGAAGAAATGAAAATATTCAAATAAAATTGGAGAGAGTTCATTGACCAAGTATCTTTTTACAATGCTATAATGAATGATCTAGAGTTGTAGTTCAGTCATTTGGTAGTTTTACCTGGAAAGTTGTCTGGGAGTTCTGACCATCAGGTAGAGTAAGTGGCGCGTTTTTTTTTGTATCCCCAGTAGGCCTTATCCACGTGTATCACACTAATGATGACATTCCTTTCTCCCTTCATCTTTCGCTTCGTCATCCCTGATAGACCAGGTTTTGCGAGTTCATCGTCTTCAGACCCGAGCAAAACGCCACAGACAGAAATTTCTCCCACGTTATCTATGATAGGGTTATCAGCTTCGAAAGTATCAACTTCTTTCCCGATTCCGTCATAGGTTCGCTCGAGAACAGTCTCCGTTTCTCCCTCTCCATCACTTTCTCGTAGTGAAAATCGCAAATTCTCACATGTACCATTGCAATTCGTGCAGATCACGGAGCACTTCAATACAACCTTCCTGTATCCACAGGTTCCCCGACATTCCAACTAGAATTTGCAAGGAATAAGTTTCAAAAAGGTTTCCGAATCTGGAGGGTCGAGTCTGGTGACAGGAATTAGCCCATTCTTGGCTTTTTTCCATTCCCATCGCTCTGCATTTTGATCCAATCCATACCATTGCTGCACCTGGTGATATGTTCGGAACGAATGTTGTCGTGCTCCTGCTTCTGTCGGTGGCAGCGATGCAATATTGAACTGTTTTTTATATTCTGATTTGGTGAAGCATCTGTATCTATAGTTGTTTAACGACATACTTTCCGCCCCACTGTGACCGTACAATGCAAGGAGAAAGCGTTCTGCAGCTTCAGCAATGATCTCTGGATCGGCATTCTGGTTTTTAAATACCTGGACAAGCCCGATTGAATCTGGGTTCTTTCGTAGTACATTTATACATTCTATTTTCCCTTGATTGAAGAGTGCGGATGTTGTACTACAGCCACTGAAGGCATGTGAGAATAAAATGTTATCGGCGACTGTTTTATCTATCATACTTCTTGTTGAATATATTTGTTGCACACTTTTTCCTCATCCGGGTTTGAGAATGTATATGTTCGAACTCGTAGATAGAGCTATCAAAATTATGAGCATAAGCATACACACGTGTGGGTATAGAGCATTAGCTTTACGCGTATTCCGTATCGTATGCTCCTAATATACGAAATATGTGTGTTCGTATAGATGTGTGTTGGTTGGCGGCACTCGTACGCTGAAACTGTCAATTTCACAAAAAAGGGTTATCACTAATGAATTGTGGGGAATTTTCTCTAGTTTAATTCATCACATAACTATTTTTATCATAAAATGGGTAGGAGAGGAGATATCGTCGAAGAACTGTTCTTGGGCGCCATTTTTTCAATATGGCGGTGCGAAGTAACCCCGTTTTTGAGCACCAAATGACTGAGCTATTGCGTGAATTAGCAAATAGCAATCAGGCGCTCTTTTCTTATGCAACCAAGACTCAGTAGGATAAGTTTATGTTTATAATTATCTGATAAATGCGAACTTACATTTTTTTTAATAAACCTCATCGCGGTACTGAAACGTGAGGTCAGAGTTGGTGGAACTGTTCAATATACTTCTTTTCTCCGTGTCATATGGCCTCTTCCTGAGATATATTCTTCTTCGTCAATGTGAGAATTGATCGCGAGGAGGATTGACAAATTCTTGGATAGAAGATACAGAACTACTACATTCAACTTTTCATATTTCAAGAATCTATATCTTATGATTTCATAGGTAGATTGAATTTTTTTCTGCAAATGCATTACCTCGTTGTTCCAAGCATTGGGACCAAACGCCCCATAAGTCGAAACTTGTGCGGGGTTAGGTAAGCATACAAACATCCATGGCCAAACTAGGATTCGAACCTGTGTCTCGGTGGGAGTCCCCATACGAACTCAGCGCATTCACGCTCTCGACCACCGAGCCGCCTGATTGCAAATGTATTCTACACTCGGGAATATGCAATTTTGAAATAAGGCATTCTTGATTTGAAAACCATAATCCAATTTGATCATTTCTCTATTGGTTCATCAATCATATAATGTCTACCGATTTCATGAGAGTATTCTACTCGAGATTCTACTCGATACATCGCATCAAACCTATACCACCAAGTATATCTACTTGGTATTGAATTTGACTACGCTACGTCGCCAATAATGAGCTTGAAACGTTGTTATTTTTCAACTGCTAAATCTCATAACTAAGAGATCTAGGATGAACAGAGTTGCCCCAATCGTCAGCAGGAGCGAGACAGTACTGTTTCGACCCACCCACCTGCTGACGATTGGGACAACTCTCTTCATCCTAGATCTCTTAGTTATGAGATTTAGCAGTTGAATAGGTGGTGGAAAAATTCCACTCAAGTATGTCAGGTAGTGCCATCTGTCAGCAGAGTGATTTACTTGTATTACCACTCTGTAGCGAATAGACGTAAGGGTCTGTACGTGTGACTATAGGTGGCAGCGCCATACAGTGTATGTCGCGATATCTCTGTATCCTACCTCAGAACTTTGCCACAAGATGGCTACAACATGACTACAACTTCATGTTATACCCTGCGTTCTTCTTTTTCATAAAATATAGAAAGGTACCTATTATCACTAACCTCGGAAAATTTAGATTAATTCCATAAGTTCCTAAAAAGTTCACTCATAAGTATTCATTTTGCAACCGCTGAGGAATTGTATAGCAACAATCACGAACGATAACGAATGCATTCATTGTTCACTTTGTACAAGTGGAGATGTCGTCTCCCACTTTGATATTTTCCAATATCAAGGAAGGAGAATGGATTTTATTCAAACAAGAAATAACTAGACATTTAGGGATGATCTTGACTTCGTGAAATAATAAGAGCGAGATCCTTCAGACAAAACATATCAGATATATCGAAATGGGACATATCATCTCAAATCAATTCAAATAATGAGCGAATTCCAAGATATTACTGTTGAATCAGATGGAAAATATGATTTCTCATCTAGAGCAATCAACACTTCAAGATTTTCAAGTTAAATGTCTTGTTAGGAGCGAGTTGAGATCTTTCAAGTAAAATGAAAGCCTTACTTAGATCAAGTTGTTCATATTATCAGTAGACAATATTTCATTTCTCACTTCGATGTGGTAGCACGTTCCTGAATCAAAATCACCGATCTTGTTCCAAAATCTTTCGATCTCAGGCAAATTATTCGAGTGTTGTGTTGGAGCAAATGTTCACTTACACTGAAAAAAAAATTGAGTGAAATTTCACTCAAGGTCCACGCAATAATGAGTCAATTTCGGTCCACGCCCGATTGCGTTGAAATTGCACCCTACTCGACTGTGTAAAATGGTAATTCATGAACCGATTCAATCAAATTTTTTATAAACATTTTCATTGATATGAGAACTTGATGAAATATCTAGTTTGAGTTGAGAATTCACTCAAAAATGTCAATCAGTAAATTCATTCTCAACCACATATGCATTCACTCAGAGGAATTCTTTACAGTGTACACGAGAGCTTTAATTATTTCCGGAAATTCTTTCGAGAACACGAATATTTTGAAAATTCTCCCGAGTCGAAGACGAGGGAGAATTATCTAAATATTCGTGTTCAAGAAAATATTCCCGGATATTAATTGAAGCTAAAGTGGTATTCGGTAAGAAAATTTCACACCAAACATTTTTGATCAATTTGAAGGAATTTCAACAACACTTGGATGAATTAGTTGAGAATAATGGTTGTTTGTGATGAAATGTAAGAACTAAGGTATAGTAACAATATTGTAAATTTCGAATTTGAAAGTATACCTACATACCTACATGGTAAACTGTTGATAAATTATTTTTATTTATTGTCTTATAGGATGATCTCGAAATAATCTGAAGTTGGATGTAAATGTCATGCAACCTATAAACGTCAAAAAATTTCCAGTGTAATTTCATGCTCCGTCCCCCAAGGAAGAGGAACAAATTTCCAAGAAATTTGTTTAGTTGCTATGGTAACGATATGAATTACAGGCTTTAAATTGATCGAAAATGTTTGGTGTGAAATTTTCAAGAGAATGTCTCGTTGTAAGAGATTTGGTCCCTTCAATTGAATATTGGGTGTTCAACTTGAAGTGTTCACTCTTCACCAAAGATTATATTCCCGAACAAGTGCACTATCT